AGTTTCATCAGAACATAAAACATTTTTTCCAAATATATTTCGGAGGTTTTAAGTGTGTTTTTGCAAAATGTATCCTGCCTTGGATGTCTTTTGTCAGATAAGACTTCCATTTTGCTTCCCTACCTTACTGCCCAGACATGTGAAGAAGATGAGAGATTGTTGTCCCATTTTCTTTTATTGTTGCCCTGACCATCTTTCTTCATCAGTATAAGAGGGATGTCCATATTTCTCCACTTAATGAGGACTGTCTTCACTGTGGTCCGTGTTCTTGAATGCTTTGCAATGCTTTTGTACCCCTTCTCCTGACTGATGCACTTAAACAATGAGATCAATGACAATGGCTTGTGGTGTAAGACATGACCACAAAAGTGTCAGGAAAAGCCTACTAGAATGGCTAAACTTTATTCGGGGTTAATCAGAAACACTTTAAATTGTGACACGTGTGTGCCAACTCCCATTTCACATTAGTATGAATGTGACTGGTTGATTCGGAACACAACCACACTCCTACCTATAAGCAGGTATGCAAGACTTATGCAACCATTTCTCCGCTTGTTACAGTATCTTATACTTTCACACTTGAAAATGTTTATTTGTTTTAGCTTGAGCTATACAGGTTATAGGTCACATTGATGTTGGAAAAAAGTTTTTAAATTATATATCTCGGTCTTATTTTTATGACAAAAATCTGGCATTTGAATAGGGGTGTGTAGACTTCTTATATCCACTGTATCTTGCAGCATGTGTGCTATAATGAACCATGCCTCCTCCTAATCAATCTGTTTGGCTCACACTGAGATGATCAATTCATAATTTTTGATTGCTTTATTGAACCTATAAACACAACATGAAAGACATAAAAGGAAAAACAAAATCAAAGGAAAAGTGTCAATACATATCCTGCTTCAGTACAGTTGATATGCTCAAAGGGAGTCGGAGGAAGTAGAAAAACTTACTTTGAAAATCTCCTTTCATGAATTCACACATTTGTTTTTTGTTTGGAGCTTCTCCTCAGCTATAAATATTTTTAGCAGGGAAGCCAGCTTCTTGTGGGTTTTTTTGCGAATCTGTGGCAGGGCATGGTGCCTATCCACCACAAATGATTGGGCTTAGTGTATGTTTTATGGCTCGGAAAAATTAGTGCAACATAGTTTGACCTCTGTGATCTTTCTTCTCCCCAGCGAGTGTCAATCTGTGTAGTAACAACAATGGAGATTGTTCCCAGTTGTGTCTGCCCACATCAGCAACCAGCAGGGCCTGCATGTGCACTGCCGGTTACAGCCTCAAGACAGGGCAGCAGTCGTGTGAAGGTAACACAGCTTGCTAGCTGCCTTTTGTCATCAAGGGCTTTTCGGCAAGGGCCACAATATGCCTCTCTCTTTCTGAGCAGGTATGGGCTCTTTCCTGCTTTATTCAGTCCATGAGGGAATCAGAGGAATTCCGCTGGACCCAGCCGACAAATCTGACGCCTTGGTGCCAGTGTCTGGCACCTCTCTGGCTGTCGGCATCGACTTCCACGCTGGTGAGTGACGCTCGAGAGAGACCAAGGTGGTCTCTTTGGAATGAAACTAGCTCGTTCACTCTCCCATTGCAGCATTAACTGGTAACATATTGATCCTTTTCAGAGAACGACACCATCTACTGGGTAGACATGGGCCTGAGCACCATCAGCAGGGCCAAGCGAGATCAAACGTGGAGAGAAGATGTGGTCACCAATGGCATCGGCAGGGTGGAGGGCATTACCGTCGACTGGATTGCAGGTCTGCTTGTGGTGAAACCTCTTGGACATATAGCATCATTTTGCATACGGCGATCAGGTCTACTTTGCCTCCCCCCCCCGATGTGCTCATCACCAGCTGCCTAACTGGAACACGCAACAAGAGCAGAAGAGAAAGATTTCAAAAAATCAAACAGCTGAAATCTTTGATTTTCTCATTTACAAATCCACGTTTTGTTTCGCTCATGGTTGATGTATCTTTTCACAATAAAGCAAGTGTTGTTTCTTTTTATTTAATTTTTATATATATAAAAAAAACAATATTTTGATAAAAATATCTATATTGACCAAATGCTCTCCAGGAAACATTTACTGGACCGACCAGGGCTTCGACGTAATTGAGGTGGCCAGGCTGAACGGCTCCTTCCGCTACGTGGTGATTTCCCAGGGCCTGGATAAACCCCGAGCCATCGCTGTCCACCCAGTCAAAGGGTAAGGCTGCTTGCCAAGCGCTTACTCAAGTGTTGCTGGAAGCAAATTGCTCCAGACGCGTGACTGTTTAATGTCCTCCACGTCATGTTCTGTGAAGGTACCTGTTCTGGACAGAATGGGGTCAGTACCCTCGTATCGAGCGCTCTCGTCTGGATGGCTCTGAGAGGCTGGTCCTGGTCAACGCCAGCATCAGTTGGCCCAATGGAATCTCCATTGACTACACGGTAGGAGGGGTAGCTGACTTCTGCCGTTGGTCTTTCGTCATTATTTGTGTGTCTTGCTCGTCCGCCTTGACGCGAGCCGTTGTACGGGGTCTGCATGTGTAGGAGGGGCTGTTGTATTGGTGTGATGCCAGGACAGACAAGATTGAGCGCATCAACCTGGAGACTGGAGAGAATAGAGAACTGGTGCTGGCCAACAACAACATGGATATGTTTGCAGTTTCTGTTTTTGAGGAGTACATCTACTGGAGTGACAGGTCAGTCTTTAGAATTGAGTGATTTCTGAAGACAAATATTGTAATAATAATGTCTGAAACTACTGTATGTCAGTCCAACATGCTTGATGTTTTTTTTTTTTCCCCCAAAAATTTTTATTGAGAGAGTATCATTGTGTTTTGCACAGGACTCACGCAAATGGCTCCATCAAGCGAGGCAGCAAAGACAACGCCACAGATGCAGTCCAACTCAGGACTGGGATCGGTGTCCAACTAAAAGATATCAAAGTGTTTAACAGGGCCAGGCAACAAGGTAGGCAAACTTCATGTTCAGCATATAACATTCGCTACTCAGCCAAAATAACCAGACATATTAGGCTTTCGGTTGATATATCCAGGTGAAAATTCACATCAGGTGTTTGATCGGTGAATCGACCAATACACTTCCAAGGATGTGTTCTTTGCCTTTCTGTGACTCTTCCACTCTATCTGAATGACCTGTTTCAACTGCAACTTTGATACATTTCGGGTGTTGTCAAAATCTGACCGGCATGATGGAAAAGACTTTTTACTTGTTGTTTTCCGCAGGCACCAACATCTGCAAACATAACAACGGCGACTGTGAGCAGCTTTGTCTTTACCGTGGCAACGGGCAGCACACCTGCGCCTGCGCCCACGGCATGCTGGCCGAGGACAACCGCAGCTGCCGCGATTACGACGGCTACCTCCTGTACTCGGAGCGCACCATCCTGAAGAGCATCCACCTGTCCGACGAGACCAACTTGAACGCTCCCATAAAGCCTTTCGAAGACCCAGACCACATGAAGAATGTCATCGCCCTAAGCTTTGACTACCACGGAGGCGGCGGAAAGGGAGCCAACCATATCTTCTTCAGCGACATTCACTTTGGCAATATCCAGCAGATCAACGACGATGGCACAGACCGCAAGATTGTGGTGGATAGTAAGTAGGAAGTCATTTGGCAAAAAAAAAAAAAAAACATCTCAAGGAGCGCTGCTCACTGGCCGACAGACTCAAGACACCCTCGCGCAATATAAAGTGACTTAATACAAATCCAAACTGTCAGTGTCAGTGAAAAAATAAATCAATTAAAAAATAAAAATAATAAGAATAGTAATTGCACACCAAAAAAATCTCCATAAATGGTTACAAAATGGAGGATGAAAAATAGAAAAACAAAACAACAAATATTCAAGAAATATTGATTTACTTCCACGAATATCCAAATCCACGAGTGCCGAACTGCAAGTATGTGGGGCTCCACTGCATTGATAGTGTGAAAACATACAACGTATGATCACGGTGGAACGCACCCAACATTGTCTGGGTGGACTTGCGCTCGCTCTCACTGCGGTCTCCTTCATCATATACCTAGCATGCCTGAGAACAGCACTGCATTTACTTCAGGCGTTTGTATTTTTTTCCCCTATCGTCTAGCGATATACTTAAAACAAGTAAATAAAAGTCATTGTCATACAGTACAATTCGATGCCGCCGCAAAACAAAACAGCATTTCTCAGCTAAATGAGACATTTAGGACTGTCAAATAAAAGGGACAATCATAAAGGGACGTTTAAGACACGTGGTAACATTTTATTTTAGCTTTTTCACGACGGATTGCCTGAGGACTCACTTAGACGCAAGCAACGCGGTCTGTTCTGAAACGGCGAGGAACAAGAGAACACGTTAACATATTTCAGAATGTTTTCTCAGGATCGCATGACATGACATGATGAAAAGCAAAGCCAGTTCTTTGAATGGTCTGCATCTGTCATGTCCTTGTAAAGCAGAATTGAACCCATTTAATTCTGTTATTGAACGCTGCAGAAAGGTTTCAACTTTTCACCGTATTCAATCCATTCTAAAGAGCTCATTTCTATTCCTCCATTCACCCATTTTCTGTACCGCTCACACACCTTAGGTTAGCGGCGGTGCTGGAGTCCAAGCCAGTTGCCTTTGGGTGTGAGGTCACCACACAAATAATAGACAAGTCAGCATTCACTCTTTCATTCACACAGTTGAGTCTTCAGTTCAGCCAACGTGCATGTTTTTGAAATGTGAGAGGAAGCTGGAGTAGCAGGAACAACCCCGCCACGCAAGTACACGCAGGAGAGCCAGAGCAGGGATTCAAAGCCCAAACCTCAAATTTCTGCACATCTCTTGTATTGTGCAGTGATTTCTTTGTACATCGCATTCCAAATTATTCTCCAAGTTAACTTCTTATTTTTTTAATTCTCTGTGCAATTTTTAAATCATTAACTGTCAGAGTATAATTTGAATGTTTTCGAGCAAATCTCCCAGTGATAACAATACAAAAAAAAATGCCAGATTTCTAAATATGACACCCTGTTTTAAACCATATTACAGGTTGTAATGAAATTACGATTTGTTGAAGTTGCAGCATTATTTACTGAAATCAAACGGGATTTCCATCCAAAACATTTTAACCGTTGAAGTTGCATGTTAAAATCGGATCCCTTATCTGAGAGCGGCTTCACAATTCTTACACCCATGGACTTGTGAGATTTTGGAGTTGCCGCTTGGAATATCTTTGTAAATTGTCACAATAGCCTCCCTGGACTAGCATTTGAACACAGATTGACCCTCACCCTCCTCGATCCATCCATTTGTGACTTCACAAATATGCTGGCTTTCATTTGCATGGACCATTTTCACAACTCAGAGACGAAAAACATTTGCGTCCGTTTTAGGTTTCAGAGCTTGTGTCAAACTCAAAGGTCCGCACCATGTCCCCGCCCATCATCATGTGAGGACAACCATTCAGGGAGTTTTTGCAAACGGTCCATCGCTCTCTCCCCAGCATTAACAACTCTCTTCGGAACTTCTGAGACATGAATCCATACAGCAGGGGGTTAACCACCGCCACTGACGATGCCAGCAATCTGGCCAAAATGGCAATTGTATTGTAACCCTTTGAGCCCTGAATGCTTCCCCCGATGAAGGAGAACATGAGCGCGTAGGAGGGTAGCCAGAGGAGAGTGAAGACCAGGACCAAGAGAGCTGACGTGTGAGTGACCTGGCTCTGGTAGCGCTCCAGCCGAGGGGCATTTCCAAACAATCGCGCGTGTCGAAGAAAACAGTAGATCTTTGTGTACATCAGCACGATGATTCCCAGTGGTAAGGCGAAAGCAAAGACGAAGAGACTGATGCTGTAGACGAGCTGGCTGAAGTCGGACAGAAAGGCAAAGCAGTACACCGCCCTGGATGTCGTCACTGTGCGGAAGGCAAACTGAGGCGCTGCCAAGGCCGAGGCGGGAAGCCACAGAAGTGCCACCGTCACCTTGAGCCGCCGGTGCATCCTGGAGCGGTACGCCCAGGTGGGGTGCACCACTGTGAGGTAGCGAGTCACAGCCAATGCAGCCAAAATAAAGACGGAAGCCGAAGAACAGGCCACGCCCAGGAAGCTGACCCCTTTGCACAGGAAGCTCCCAAAAGGCCAGAATCCCAACGTGATGGCCGACGTGTGGAAGGGCAGGCAAAGCAACAGGAGCAAGTCAGCCGCGCTCAGGGCCAGCAGCAGGGTGTCGGTACCGTGTGGCGGGTGGCGGTCTTTCCGCCTCCGCCCCGTTAGGGTGCTGATGACCAGGATTTGTCCTACCAGGCCAGTCACCAGGATTAGACCATCCAGAATGGGCACCAGAACCTTAATCACAGCCTCCTCTTGCCTGTTGCTTTGTCCGAGTTCACTGCTGTTTACGTCCTGTCCTGCCATCTCCATGCCTTCCCAATTAAAGTCAATTAGCTCATTAATCTGAGAGCCTGTTAATGTTAAGCAGGGGGCGGGGGGCGTTCACATCGCGTCAGGGGAATCGCAACGACGGCTAATGAGAGCAATTAGTAAAGCACATCTACTGCTCACTCCTTCATTCAAGAGGTCTCATCGGCGATCTTTCTCGCTTGAGAACAAATGTGCAAAAGCACTCATGTGGGCAGTCAAGCTTGCCATTTTACAAACATTTTCCAGAGCACTCCGAAAGTTGCCCGAATGCCCAATTTTGTTAGAAAACATGAAAACAAGACCTGAAGGGCCAGTCCCTGTGCGGCAACATCAACATGTTCTTCTTCATCCCTTGGAGCACTTTGTGTCAAGCACAGGAGAGATTTCACACGCAGTCGTACTCCATGTCTGGATTGATTTCTTGGCACCGGGCAACAGTGGTCAAATTCATTCCTGAGATTTGCCGTTAGTGTCCTTTTGCTTTAAAGGCAGTCAAACCATCCCACTTGATGCTCGCCGCGGCAGGTGACGACTTGTCTGCTTTGAAGCTCCTCACTGGCGTGTAGCATGTGTAGCATGTAGACTCCGCTGGAACAAGAACTGTGCTCCAACAAGGCACTCATGATAAATAATGAACCTGAATGTAAAAAGCCTGTTCATTCCCCATGCCTGCTCGGAGTGGGAATGGTCTTCCAGCAGGTCTCTCCCACTGTTTGCGCAGTATCCTTGGGACAAGCTTAGCAACGGGCGCAGTATCCTTGGGACAAGCTTAGCAACGGGGGGGTTGCTGTCATCCCCCCCCCCCCCCGCCCCCATCGTCCTTATATCATACTGTCACCCACCTATTTGATGTATTCCCGTCTCGTGACTGGAGGCAATTGTTAGTGTCAAGGCTGGAAGGATGAAAAGAGCAACTATCTGTATGTGTTTAGTTTGTCAACCTGCCATGAAGGTGCATTCAGTCAAGTTGGTGTTCAACAGTGGATTTGTCCTCCATTTAGATCATCTATGTATGGCTCTTGGTCATTCATCCAAAACGTCTCAAAAGGTTCTATTGACTTTCCTCAGAGAGCAAACATCTGCTTGGAGTGTTCGTGTTTTTATGGCGGTGTTGAATGGTGATAAAGGTCGTTCATCGTATGACTATGAACAAATAGATGGCACACTTTGGAGCCGGTAAGACAGCGTAGTGGAGTGGATTTCCATGTTTTGCGGAAGGTCAGCACCGTGTTTTAGAAATGGCGTCTTCAGGAAGACGTGGACTTGAACAGCTGCAGTGTCAGGGCCTCCCCCAGGGCTCACTTGTCAAGCTGTTCCGTGTCAGTTCTCTTCCCATCCATGAATGAGTGGATCCACAGGGAGCTGGATTTGTATGTGCAGGCAGCATGCCATCAAGTGTCAGGATGACACACGCGCTTTAAACGCGCGCCAGCAACAGCAGTTGTGCACACATGCTCTGCACCATGTTCTTTGCTTTTTCTCCCCCACTCCTAAAATGATGGCAATTTTAAATAAATAAACAAGAATTTGGGGGGAAAAAAATACCTGCTGTATGCAACATCAGAGTTGCATACAGCAGGTATGTCTCATTGCTGGCTTTCTCAAAACACCATCGATCAGTGGGTTTCAGATGCGCAGGTTTTCAAGGGAGGTTGAGCAGCTTGGAAAAGGAAAGTCTCAAATATTCCATATTATCCCTTTTCAGCTGTGTTTAGAACAAAATGGATTGATTTTCAGCTCCTACAAAGTGCGAGTCAATGGCGAGAACAACATGGGTTGTATTCTAAGGCTCACTGACCTGTATGTTAAAAGCGCCTTCCATAGATTATGAGAAAGAAAGAAAAAAAAAAGTACAAAAGTAAAGGGCCACTTGCTCATTTTCTTGCACAGATGTCGGTTCAGTGGAGGGCCTGGCGTACCACCGCGGTTGGGATACGCTCTACTGGACCAGTTACACAACCTCCACCATCACTCGCCACACCGTGGACCAGAGCCGCTCTGTGGCCTATAACCGCAACACCGTGGTCACCATGTCTGGAGAGGACCACCCCAGAGCCTTTGTGCTGGATGAGTGTCAGGAGTGAGTCATTAAGATCCAAACATGGCCGGGCTGGGCCCAGCTCCAGCCGTTTTTCTTGCTCTGCTTTCTTCCCACCAACCCATTTGTTTCGCGCAACTCAGCTGTTGCTTTAATTCCACGGCGTGTTTTGGCTGCAGATAATATTATCGGTCCTGTGTTTATTTGTTTTTATTTTTTTGGTTTGTTTGTTTCTGACCACAGTCTCATGTTCTGGACAAACTGGAATGAGCAGACCCCCAGTATCATGAGGGCTTCCCTAAATGGCGCCAATGTGCTGGCCATCATCGGCAGTGATATTAAAACTCCCAACGGCCTGGCTATCGATCACCGAGCAGAGAAGCTCTACTTCTCTGATGCCACTTTGGACAAGATAGAGCGCTGCGAGTATGACGGGAGCAGCCGATATGTAAGGAGGCTTTCTCGCGGAGGTAACGTAAAGACGAGTTACTTGGAAGGAGCCCTCAACTGTTTTCCCTTCTAGGTTTTGTTGAAGAATGAGCCCGTGCATCCGTTTGGCCTGGCCGTATACGGGGACTTCATCTTCTGGACGGATTGGGTGAGGAGGGCGGTCCTGAGAGCTGACAAGTACACGGGTGGCGACATGAAAGTGTTGCGGGCAGACATCCCCCAGCAGCCAATGGGAATCGTGGCAGTGGCCAATGACACCAACAGCTGTGAGTTGCGTCAACTGCTGTTCGTTTCCCATAATTCACCGCCGCTCGGTTGTATTTCCCTTCGCTGAGTCATTAGTTGCAGAGATGATAGAATTCTCACTCTAACATAATTCCGCCCTCTTGGGCCGCACACCATTCAGGTGAGTTTTCTCCTTGCCGCACAAATAACGGAGGCTGCCAAGACCTGTGCCTGCCCACGTCTGATGGGAGGGTTAACTGCAGTTGCCGTGGAGACAGACAACTACTGGAAGACAACACCTGCTCTTGTGAGAATTCAGGAGAAAAGAAAGCTGTTCAACATCGAACGCAAATGCGGTTTCAGTGATGAAACATGACTGTACCTCACCAGCGCTGAATATGTCTTGCGGGAGTGTGGACGACTTTGAGTGTGGAAACGGCGATTGCATCAACTACAGCCTGACCTGTGATGGCATGGCCCACTGCAAGGACAAGTCTGATGAGAAGCAGTCCTACTGCGGTGAGGATTTGTGCAACTGATTGAACTACAACATCTCATAAACTATTTGTTCTTGCCATTCTTGGCTTAAAAAAAAGTCTCAAAAACATCACAGTGGCTTCCTGTGGAGGGGGTTCAGAATTCACTCAATAATAAACACGTGCGGGGATATTTTCAACTTTTTATATGTGTAAGGTATAATTTAAAAAAAAAAAACAAACAAAAACATATTAGCCTAGTTTTATCTTGTTTGTGCTTATTGATAAGGTAGCCATTATTTTCACTACACACCAGATCTTTAACTGTAAAAGCTTTTCTTTCTCATCTACTGTTTTGTTTTGTTTTCCTAGCCAATCGAATTTGCAAGAAAGGCTACAGGCGGTGCATGAACGGTCGCTGCATTGGTCACAAATTCTGGTGTGACGGCACAGACGACTGTGGCGACCACTCTGATGAAATGCCTTGTAACAGTAAGTCATCAGCGTCCATTCCATCGGAACGTTTAACAAAAAAAAAAAAAAATATATATATATATATATATATATATATATTTTTTTTTTTTAAATTGTACTATGCTATTGTAATTGTGTGATCCAGTGAGAGTTGCTCGCATGTCTGATGGGCTCTTTTAAACACACCAACTTGACTTGAAAAGATCGAGACTGGTTAGCTGACATGTTTTGATAAATTCAGTAATTGCTTTCCGGCTGCTTCAAGTAAGAGGGAGTTGACATGATCTTCACTCTTATGATTTTTATCTTTGTAGTGACCCTGTGCAAAGTTGGAGAGTTCCAGTGCAAAGATGGCAGCTGTATCTCCAACTTCAGCCGCTGCGACCAGGTGGTGAACTGCGAGGATGCCAGCGACGAAATGAACTGCCGTAAGGCCGCTTAAAAGGATGCTGTAGATCAAACGAAGGGTCGTGAAAACGTCTTTTGTTCATGGCCAGAACCCACCGACTGCTCGCGTTTCTTCCGCCTGGGAGTGAAAGGCGCTTCCTTCCAGAGCTGCGAGAAAACCACTCTGTGTTATCTGTCCTCGTGGCTGTGTGACGGCAACAACGACTGCGGCGACTTCTCAGATGAGAGGAACTGCCTGGGTGCGCAGCTCCGCCTGCTTTTCCTGCCTGCAGTCTGTTTAGACCCATTCAAGCCTACTTGCGATTTCTTTGTCTGGTCTTGCAGATAAACGCAAGCTGAAATGTCCAGTCAACTTCTTTGCTTGCTCCAGTGGCGCCTGCATTCCGATGAGTTGGACTTGCGATAAGGACAATGACTGCGAGAACGGAGCTGACGAGACACACTGCGGTCAGTCTAATGTTGATTCAAAAGAGTTTCTTCCTTGCACTCAGTTGCAAGAGTATATAAACCGTCGGCATCACATTCTGTATTCGGAACACCCAAGTATGAAGGGGTGCACTTGTACTGATCATTGCAGCAGAAATAACATTCTTGCATTCTAGTCAACCGAGTTTAATTATTCTCTTCTGTTTTTTTTCTGAAATCTTTGTACGGCTCCAATTGCAGACACATTTTGTACATCCACCGAGTTTGAGTGTGGAAACCACCGCTGCATTTCCAGCCATTGGGTGTGCGACGGTTCTGATGATTGCGGTGATGGATCGGACGAGGATGACAAATGCAGTAAGCCACGCATTCAACTGCGAGCAGCTCTTGAGCCCTTTCCCCCGAATGATGTACTACGTGTCATTTTCAAGCACAAACATCAATGTTTTCTTTTGTAATATGCACACATCCATGCAAAATAATAGAATGAACGGACGAAAGACATTTTTATTACTGTGTCACGCATACAATAGTATGCCTCGGCCTCATGGGCTTTATACGGAGCCAAACAATAACCAGCACCAGAGTACAACAAAAACTTCATGTCAAAATAAAAACAGTCTCTCTTGTCTTCTTTGTCAAAATTCGTGGATACAATTTGCAACTATAAAAACCATCGAAATCACAAAGCCATTAAATCATTTCCTCATCTGGCCACCAGAGCATATCGGTATTACAGTTTAAAGAGAATAACATTTCAATGGATTTATTGCTTGGTAGAAGTGTATCAAGTTTTGAACATTTTTGGAACAATTAATTCTTTCATTGAGGAACAAAAACATGTTCAGTTCAATATTACTCAGCCCATCTTGCCCAAGCCTTCCAAAAAGTGTTCATTCATCAAATTAATAGAGAGCATTTGTCAGGTGGTTTTATGCTGGCCGGAGGACATTCCAAAAGCTCTTTCACTACACATTGGATGGCAGCGCCAGGGGTTAGACTGCACCAGCAAAACACCTAACAAAAGTTATCTGGCAAGCTTTGTCCACAAAATCGAATAGTCCTTTGATTATTCTTCTCAAATCTGTTTTCCCCGAGTTCCCTTTTAACCGTCAATGAAATTCCTATTCATTTCCATTGAGAGTTTCTGACGTTGACAATTGCTGGAATTCTGCAAACGCGGTCATTTTTACGATACCCTTCCCATTTTCCATG